GGCTCTTGTCGTGCTACATTTTCACGAGTCACACGCCTGCTAGGGTTTTCCACACCCCGAAGACGCTCTATCCTCTTCCCGTACCACGGGCGGGTATACACCGCGCACCTAGTAGTTACCCCATGCCCTCAGGCAATGGAACCCGCTAAAAAGGGTAGAGGCCCACCTAAGACCAACACCACGGCTGGGGCCGTAGCACTGCCAGCTTCAGAGGAAGCCCCTCTTGGCCTTCGCTTGGCCTGCATGCACACCGTTCAGGCAAGCTGCTTCAAGCTCCACGCATAACTTGCAACCTTTGCCGCAGGTGGAACGTAGAATGTTGGGTTTTGGTTTAATTGACGTTCTGGGGTCTGGAGTCTAGAGCTTCCAAGTGAAGCGTTTAAGGGAGGTTTTCGGCACAATCACCTGCCCTACCGGTTCTAATAATGCCCCCCTCCCTACGATACAGGCTCGCAATACAATATCCATTTTCGTGGGGAAAACTTACAAGCGAAATCGCGCACACACACACACACACACGCGCACACACACACACACACACACACACACGCACACCATCCTACAACTCCTTCCCCACCCAGCACCCCAGAAATCTCGAAACCTATGCAGAAACCACGAAGCCCATGAGTTTTCGATGGCATCTCACATTTTTACAAGGGGTCCTAAACATCATGAGATGGGAGTATTCAATTACAACTTTTTAACTACTCTTAGGTAAGCCTTGTTTTGCTTGAGTGCGGCGTTGGCTAACAAAATGTAGAGGGAGCAGTCGTCTCCAGGACGCCGAAACACTGCATCAAGTCTCCTGTTCACTCATTCTGGATGCTTTGCCCTCCATCCTAAACCCTGCCCTACGGCGAAATCCTAACGCCCCAAACTGCGAACCCCCCAAACCCCCCTAAACCCTAAACCCTAAACCCTATAAATCCAAACAAAGCTGCAAAGCCAAGCAGTGCCTTGGCCTTGGCTCTTACTTTGGGCTTCTTTTTGCTTTTAGCTTCCTGCGAGCGCGTGTAAATTTGCGTTCAGTATTGTGGACTTTGGGCTTCTGAGCCAAGTCTTGAGGATTATCTTACTGGGGGTAGGTGGGGACTGTAGGGACTGTATAGTATAGGAATTAGATGGGGATTATATTCCTTTATTCCCTACTAAGAACCAGAAAAGTTTATTTCGTAGGTGGCAGGGTAGGGCTCGAGAATACTCAGGGTAGATCGCTCGAACCCCAGCTACCATTCGGTAGCGTCGTCGCCGCCATTGCTGCTTCTCCTGCCTGGCACCGGCGGAAGCGCAAGCACCGGTCCTTTGCTAGGCTGCGATTGCATTTTGGTACATCCACCTGGAGGGACCGTCATCGACTTCTTCTACATCACGCTACGCCGCCGCCACAAGCCTTCAGACTAATGGCATGGAGGAGCACAGCGGGCAAGAATGCGGGCAACAAGGGCGACTCCGGAGCCTCCAAGGGCTCTGGAAGGTGGCAATATTGGCAGGGCTCCTGGTCACCCTCTCAGCACTCCAAGGGTGCGCCATGGAGAAAGAATTCAGGGAAGAACCAGGACGGCAAAGCTTCCCTCAGCTTTCCGGGCTACGATGTTGCGCAGAAGGAGGAGCAGCATATCTCCGTGGTGGCCACCGTCAAGGAGAAGGACGGGGATACCTACGCCAACGCGCTGCAGAGAGCCATCAACTTGGTTCGAAAGGCCGAAGCTCGGACACGCAAGGCGATGGCGGACAAGAAGTCCAGGATGGTGCAATGGAGCAACTGGGTCACGGAGCTCAAGAAGACCTATGCCAAAGAGCGTGGCCGCTACCAGGCGGCGGTGGCTCGACACGAACGAGAAATGGAGGAAGCCCTTGTCGAGCAAGAGTGTGCCAGATCGAGTTTGAGGAAGGTTGCGGCAAGCATGGAGGTGGACGCTGGACCGACCACACAGGAGGCCTTGGATGTTGGTGCAGAGTTCGAAGCCATCATGCAAGATGGCCTTGGTATGGAGGACTATCAGGAGTCCAACGAGGACATCCTCCAGCGGACGCTGCAGCATGGAGTTGCGAGAAGGGAGGCTGCAAGCAAACAGGGGACCTCTGCGGTCGGAGGTCGTTACTACTCCGCCTCCGCACAAGTGCCCAGCATACAGTTTGGAGGCCAGCACACCGCTGCAGGTGAGCCGGGCACAACTCCCTCGAGACACTCAGCCGCCGCTGCTTGGGGCAACCACTGCATCGCCCGGACAAGCCCAAGTGGGCACGGACCCCTACATGGTTTCCCCGTCCACTACTTCTCGGAGATCAGCCACTGGAGTGCGAAAGAGGTTGTCTACACCGGACGGTCACTCCAGGGAAGGAGTCAAGGCTGCTGTGCGCCAAGCGTCTGGCCCTGGCATCTGGAAGCCTGGATGTGCCAGGACAGGATATTGCAAGAGGGCTCCCTGGCGCAGCCTCCGAAGAGGGGCAGCCTCCGGCCCCCACAGGAGGCGGTGGGCCTCCGCCGATTCCATCGGTGACTCCACAGCACCACATTCTTTACGACGACGAGGAGGAGAAAGCGCCATCGGAGTCGGAACTGGAAGCATGGTACAACAGCCACTATGGTATCCAGGACCTTCAGACCTTGGAATGACTTTGCTCCTACTCCCTATCGCCTCTCTCTCTGGAGAGTTTGTTCGGCCGCCATGCTGTGCCTGTTTTGGGATGACAGAGCAGCTTTCTTGGGCGACAAGACTCCAACCTTTCTTGAGGCGTGAGACAAAGGTTTTACAGTTTGAAGCTCATGTAGCTTGTGGTCTGCTGGGCAGGCCTTGGTTTTGGAGCAGGCAACGGGGTGGCCATGTCTCTGGAGCTTTTGGGCTTACAGAGCATGGTCATGTGCCGGCGGAGCCTCTGACTTTTGTGATTCTTGATCGCGAGGATCCTTCATTCTGGTGTGGCAGGCGACGGGGTGGCTGGGTCTCCGGAGCCAGGCGGCTTACGGAACCCGGTCATGTGCCGACGGAGCCGTCACCTTCAGGCCTTCTCGCGTGCGGCCAAATATGGCAGCTGCACTTCAGCATGCGCTTTCAAGGCATACCATTTCCTCAGGCTGAAGCTGTCATTGAGAGTTTTCACGCCTCCAGTGCCTTGCTCAGCAAGCTGACCGTAAGAGTCAGGCAGCTGGCCATGCCACTGACAATACACTTGGATGGTGAAAGTGTTTGGGAGTATGGCTGTCATACTGCTCTTTCACTGGTCGATTTCCATGTTGCCCTTTCTGGGTTTCTGCTTGGGTGGTATGTATTTATTCCTCCTTGTTTGAATGGTGGCCTTTTGAATACACTGTGGGGTGCTTCGCCTTTTCAGCCTGTGTTGGGGCATTGGGCTGCTTTTTGGATTCTCTGTGTTCAGCAACAGCTGTATTCTGTTTGTTTGCTCGGCTGGCCATTTAATTGGCTGGCTAGGCATCCTTTGCTTGCGGCATCTTTGTGCGATGGCGACTATGCTACTTTTGTTGTGTATATTGGAGAAGATGGGCCTCGTCAACTGGCTGGACTTTTCTTGGTCCTTCAACGGCAAATTCGGCTGCCGGTTGCGCCCATGCTCTACAATGGATTTTCATTGTCACCAGTCGCACTTTGTCGGTCGATGATAGCTGGGTGCTGTCCGACCCCTTCAGCAACTTCAACAGCTTCAATGGTTGTCACAAGCGAGATATTTCTTTCCGGTTGGTGCCGGCGTTCGCTGCTGTTCGGCCCAGTATGCGGACAAAATTTCAGCGTGCTTCCTGGGCTCCGTCATTTCAAGGTGCTGATGGAGCAGTTATTGTATGAAGGGGCCATCGGGCTCTCACACATACTGCTTGAGTTCCTGGGAAGGACTGGAATTGAGATGATGGCACTCCGTAGGTCTGGGTGCCTCATTTTCTTCTGCTATCTTTGCAAGCTTCTTCTTTTTGGTTGTCAACTGAAGGGAGGCGCTCACAACTGCGATAATCTGCTGCGAATGGCGAGGTTTGCTGTTTCAGCTGTGCCACTTTCAATCGGAGCTGGCCTGCGTGGCTTTTCTCCCAGACTACACGCGACTTCAGTTTCCCCACGCAAGTTTGGCAGAAAGCGGGCTGGTTATTCCATGGACCTGTTTATTCTGCTTCTGCTGGCATCGTCCTTTACACAGACGGCTGGGGCTGCACGCGCTAGTGCCCCTGCTCCGCAGCCTACAGAGTTTCCGAGACCTCCGGCCTACCAGGAAGCTGCAGATGACGCTCAAGGTCTCCTACAAAACCCTGACATCGCCGAAGACTATGTTCCAGCTCCTTGGGTATTCCAACCACCGCCAGAGGTGTTTGTTACCCGGGCCTACAAGCTCATAGGATTCGGACACCAGCCCGAATACCTTAGCTGCACCACTCGGCAGGCGGCAACTGCGCAACGCTGCCTTGAGCTTCTGGAGCCGGACACTGGCGCTGGACGTACAGGAGGCGAAGGCGCCTTACACTTCCTTAGGGGACAGTCGGTGCTGGATGAGCTCCAGGCTCAGTGGATGCCAAGCTGGGTGCATAGTGCGCTCGGCCGTTTGGTTACCATAGATGCTTCTCTTCTAGGGCTCGCTCCGTTCCAAACATATCTTCAGGATGGGATAATTTCCTATGCTCGCATCAACCGTATTATGCCTGAGCTTGAAGGCAGCGAGTATTACATCTTTGTTCCATCACAGGATGGCGATCCATTGGCTTTCGAAGGCTACCCATCGAGGATGATTCTTGATCATTGCGACGTTGTCCACCTTACGCCCGATCCTGCTCCGCCTAATACGGTGCAGGACACACAGTGGGCCTTTGATCACTTCTCTGATTGGTCGCATACCGAATTTGCAGATGGTTATGATGTACCGCTCGGCACTGCTCGGGTTTTGGTCCTTTCAGCCGGCGAGAACTTTCTTCTACCGGCGATTGCGGGAGAGAGCGACCTGGAACTGACTCAACGTATATGTGAGGACCTTGGCATTGACGCCGCTACTGCTTTGCTGGTCAGGCCTGGCGAGCCTTTTGAACGGCCAATGTACTGCCAGCACTTCCTGTCAGACATCGTCTTCTTGCTGGATACGCCGCTTAAGGCTCAGAACTGGTGGTGTTTGTGGACTCGCGGCCGGTCCTACAAACTTTTTCTGCAGTTCGTCTTCCCCGTCCAGTAATACCAGTCGGCGAGGCTCTTGCTCAGTTCAATATCCGAGTCGAGGCCATAGAGGGCTACCGGCTCTGGCTGAAGGGCGGGAGGAAGCGACAGGATTGCCTCATCGCGAAGCACAGAGAAAAGTTCTGGGTCAAGCTTGAGCGACAGGAGGTAGAGTACTCGTCCGCAGATAGCTCTGACGAGTCTGGTGGCAGGAGCTGTGACGCAGCTCGCAGTTCTCTAAGGTGCATCATGAAAGTCATACCCAAAAGCCAGAATCTAGCCCAGGGCGACAGAGAAGTTGTCGAAGGCACAGTAAGTGTGGCATTGTTGCGCGGGGGTCCAGAGGTGTCCCCATGTCTGCCTTGCGCAAAGGCTTCTTGACAACGGACTTGGTTCCACGTAGCACCACCACCGCGACACTGTGCTGAGCCTCCTGTCTCAGAGGGATGTGGCGAACCACCACCATCCACAGCTCCATGGCCAGGCAGATTGGCACCCGGCAATCCAGGTTCCGACGAGTCCTCTGGTGTGCCCGGATCGGACCTGGATGTAGAACCAGGGCCGCTCTCCATGTCATCGCTGTTGCTGCAGGGCAGCGTGATATTGCGCTCTGGGGACAGGCAACTCGATGCTTGGCTTCTTGCGGTATTGATGGCCCTTGCCTTCATGACAATGTCTGGAGTGGTTTTGCGAACAGCTTTCCTCTGGATGCTACTCTCCACATTGGAGAATTGGTTACTCTGCTTGAAGCTGCCAAGGATGAGGGCTTTGCTTTGGTCTGTCAGACTGTATCAGAGCTGTGTACTGCTTCCCTTGAACCGTCTGGCCCTGCGCATCTGCCTGTTTCACTTTCACTTGCAGAGGCCATTCCTTGCACCAGCTACCAGGAGGCTGTTCAGGATTTGCGCGATCTATTGCCTGTCAGATGCTCCCTTGAACCTACTGCATGGCAAGACTGGCTTGACTGTGATCTTCAGTTTGTATATGCCGAGTGTAAAGCTTGCCCTGCCATCTGGGATTGGCTTTGCTCGTGTGCGTCGTGGTACGATGATCCTTTCATCCCTGAAGCGGTGCACTTGTATACTGATGGCTCTGCCAGTCAGAACGGCCCACATGGTTCACTTCCTGCGGCATGGGCTTTCAATGTCTGGGCCTTGGTGGGGACAAAGCAGGCCTACCTTGGACATGCGCTAGGCGTCACCGCCCAGAAACACTCTCCATTCTTCCTAGGAGAAGTCTGTGATGATGCTCTGACTGGTGAGCAACTTGCACTTGCGTGGGCTCTTAGTTGGGCGATTGAAGCTTCTTGTGCATTCCAGACTGCGAATTTCGTCTTTCACTTCGACAATGTTGCTGCCGGTCATGGAGGTTTTGGCAGTTTTAAACTGCCGAAGGACGCGCAGACCGCGCGGCCCACTGCCTTGTCGCACAGCTTGGCTGTCCTTAGACAATGCGCTCAGGCTGTGTGCACAGTTATCGGGCGGCATGTGCCGTCACATGCTGGCTTTGCCGGCAACGAGCTTGCGGACATCCTTGCTAAGTTTGCCAGCAAGCATCCTGACTCCGCTGAGATTACTTCTCGGCCTCATTGGCCCAGCCTCGTTGTGGGACATCGTCTTTCAGACTGGGCCTGGCTAGCGCTTCGAGATCAAGATGATCTGCCTGCCCTCGGGGCATTTGAATCTGAGGCTCGTCGACTTTTTGTTGCTGCTGCCACCAGGCCCATTACTTTCTTTGCTACGGAGCAGAGACAGACTGGTGGGCAAGGGCCTACGGGTGATGCGTTGGGCATACAGCTTCGCGCATGTACCCTCAATGTGCTTTCCCTTCGGGAAGGGGACGACCTGCCTCAGGGACTCGCTGTTGTTGGCAAGCGAGCTTTGCTTAAGCAACAGCTTCTGGGCAAGCAGCTACATGTCGTAGCCCTCCAAGAAACCAGGACCCCGGGAGACTGCATACAGCCTGATGGAGATTTTATCATGTTACATTCCTCGTGCGATTCACAGGGATGTTTTGGTTGTGCCATCTGGTTGAGCAAGACGCTGCCCTTCATTGCTGCGGGACAGAGGGTCCACTACCTCTCCAAAGAGGAATGTACTGTGGTCCACGCGGAGCCCCGGCTGCTTATTGTACAAGTTGATCTACCTGGCTTCCCTGTCACCTATGTGTCGGCCCATGCTCCGTATGATGGTCACAAGTCGCACTGCGCTGATGACTTTTGGTGCAAGGTTGGTCTTGTGGCCGCACGTAGGCCATCAGGTTCTCAGCTTTTTGTCCTTACGGATAGCAATGGGCATCTTGGATCGGTCCATTCGAGTGCCGTTGGTCCAGCCGGAGCTGAACCCGAAAATCATGCCGGGGCTGCATTTCATGCTCTTCTTACCGACTTTGGACTGTGTTTGCCAGCGACTTTTCCTGACCTCCATACTGGCTGCCACTGGACGTGGAAAGTTGGTTCCCCTTCCGGACATAGGCT